TCGGTTAAGTGATGATGAATTTGCCGCCCTTGGAGCGCCCATTAATAATAAAGAGATTCACTTTGCAATGAAGCACATGAGTGGATTCAAGGCCCCTGGTCCTGATAGGTTACAAGCAGTGTTCTTTAAATCTCAGTGGGACATAGTGGGGAATGTTGTTTGCCAACTAATCAATGATATTGAAGAACCTCTTAAAGTTGCTGATATCAACGAGACGTTGATAGTGCTGCTCGAAAGTAGATAATGTTACCCATTTAAAGTAGATGAGGCCTATTGGTTTGTGTGACGTATCGTACAAAATTTTAACCAAAGTCTTGACTTATAGACTCTGTCAGGTGATGGAGAAGTTAGTTCACTATAATTAGTGTAGCTTTATTCTGCAAAGGCAGAGCAAAGATAATAATATTTCGGGAAGTAGTCCACTCTATGAGATATAAAATAGGGGTGAAGGGATGGATGGCGATCAAGATTGATCTTTAGAAGGCCTATGACAGGTTGAAGTTTGAATTTGTGAAGGACACACTACTTGATATTGGCTTACCAAGACAGTTTGTGGACATTGTTTGGGCAAGCATTTCTTCTCCAAGAATGTGTATGCTTTGGAATAGGGAAGTCCTCGATGAATTATTACCCTCTCGAGGTGTTCTCTAAGGTGATCCACTCTCACCATATTTGTTCGTCCTTTGTATGAAGAGACTTTTTTAGCTTATTTCAATGGAGGTCGAAACAAGCAAATGACAACCTATCAGACTGGCTAGGGATGGTCCTTCCTTTTCACATCTTGCATTTGCTGATGATTTCATTTTATTCGTCGAGGCTTCAATGGATCAAGTAAAGGTATTTCAGGCTTGCCTTGATCGCTTCTGTGCTAGCTCTGGTCAAAAGGTTAGCTTGGAAAAGATTAGGATATTCTTCTCTAAGAATGTGTCCCATACCGTGAGGAACGATGTTAGCTTAGCCTTAGGATTCCAACATACTGATAACCTGGGGAAGTACTGGGGAATTCCTGCTCATCATTCGCAAATCCAGCGGAGTGACTATCAAAGTGTGATCGATAAAGTAACTAAGCAGTTAAGTGGATGGAAAACCTTTAACCTTTCCTTTGCGGGTCTACTCATGTTATGCAAATCAATCATTGCGGCTATTCCATCTTACACCATGCAAACGGTTCATATGTCCCAAAGTATATGTGATGTAGTGGGTAAACTATGCCACAATTTCCTGTGGGGTGATAGCTTTACTCAGAAGAAAATTCACACGTCATTAGTTGGGATACTATATGCATGCTTAAGAAGTGTGACGGATTAGGACTACTGAGAGATGTCAACAACTCCTTCATGATGAGTAATTGTTGGAGCTTGCTTACTGAACCTAATAAGTTTTGGGTGAAAGTATTGCGCTCAAAGTATAAATGCCTGGAAGGTACAATATCACAGGTTGAGAAGAAAGCTAGTATGGCTAATTTGTGGAAAGGTATTTGTTTAAACTAGAAACACATTGTTCAACATGCCCAGTGGTGGGTAAAGGGCGGATGTACTACACGTTTTTAGTTCGACACCTAGCTGCCACAATGTTCTCCTCTTATTCAACACGCTACTACTTTTATCCCACCTGTTGAGTTCTTTCGGAAGGTCTGTGATTATGTAACCGAATAGGGAACATAGAATATTTATCATATTATACCATGGATACCTCAGGAGTTTTTTAAACAATATTGCATCTGAAACTCCTCCCATGATAAACGTCGAGCCAGATGAAATTTATTGGGGACTTATTATCGATGGTTCGTTCACTATTAGAACTGCCTGTGCAAACTTGTCATAAGCTGAACCAGTACCCTATACTCCTATTTTCAAAGTCCTATGGAAATGGCAAGGCCCAAAAAGGAGTAGGCTACTCCTTTGGCATGCTGCACATGAAAGTCTCATGACAAATGGTGCACGTACTAAACGAGGTTTAGTGGCGATCCCAACGTGCCCCATTTGCACACAAGGTTTGGAAGATACCATGCATGTTCTTCGAGATTGTAATTTTGCACGTGAAGTTTTGAGCAACATGCATGGTGACATTACTATTGACCAACTCGTGGAAAGTAATATTTAGGAATGGATGGTGTTTCGCCTAACAAGAAGTCTTACTAGGGGGGACGAATTGGCCCCTTATTTTTGCTATCACTATTGATGCGCTATGGAACAGAAGAAATACAGCCGTGTTTCAACATTCATTCTCATCGGCAAATCATATAGTATCTAAGGTAATGGGTCGTGCAAATTCAATAGTCAACAACAACTCTCCTTTTGGTGCAAAAGATGGCCTAGAGTACACACATAATATGAGGAAATGGAATTGTCCTCCTACGGAGTTTATCAAGTTGAATGGGAATGGTGTTGTGTTTTACGGCGGTTTAATTCGAGATTCAAATGATAGATTTATTATGGCATTTTCAAGAAAACTAAACCATTGTTCTGTCACTCAGGCTGAGTTGTGGGCTATTAAACAAGGCTTTCGACTAATTTGTCTCAGAAACTTGGGTACCTGCATTTTGGTAGAATATGATTCTTTAAAGACAATCACTCTCTTGAAGAATGAATGTCCTTGTCAAAGCACCTGTTTTGATTTAGTGAAAGAGATATCTAAATTAACAGCTTCATGTGCAATAGTTTTATATATTCATATCGATAGGGAAAGTAACCTAAAGACAAACTTGTTAGCTAAACATTATTTTTTAGAGGAGAATCTAATTATTTATTATTCATTTCCTATTTTTATTCACCATTTGTTAGCGGCTGATTTGGCAAGAGTTATGTAATTTTTTGGTTTTTGGGCTGCTAGCCCCCTTCCTCACCAAAAAGAATGAAAACTTCAGCTACGACCCACCTCTGTTCGCGACCTCTACAGCCGAAAAGAAGCAAGACCTCCTCACTTTTTATTTTATTTTGTTTTATTTTATACTAGTTTAGTCAAAACTCCTTTAAATCTCAACTTAGTAATAAGACAAAAATGTTTAGAATTGCTCAATCAAGTCTTATAAAAAACAATAAAAAAAGGTTAATGATTGATTATAATAAATCTCTTAATCAGTCCCTCAAAAGTGGTAAATGTCCAATTTGAAATCTCCCTTTTGCAAAAGCAATTAGGGGTTAGAAGGCTCTAACATTATAATTGGACAGGATCTTGACTAATGAAACAATTAAATTTTTATTTAAAAAATAATAAATATAAATATTTTAATACGGATTAAGATCCAGATCCACCAATCAGTACCTTCCACGGCTTTAGTCCCACGAGATGAACGTGGGTAATAAATAAAAATAAAGAGCAAGACACAATCATTTTAAATGCCAAAATCTAATAGTCATAGTCATAGAGAGAGTCTTACAAAGATACAATGAATGTTCCACTAGCATTCTTCTCTCTCTCATCTCTCACTCTCATCTCTACCCATGGAGCATTCTCACAACAATCCCACATCAAGTTGCCCTCAGAACACCACACAAAAGAGAAGCTAACCCATATCCACTTTTACTACCATGACATTAGAAATGAGAAGAACCCCACTATTGTGCAAGTGACAGAGTCACCAAAGAATGTTCCTAATGGGTTTGGCACAACTTTTATGATGGATGATGCAATGACTGAAGGGCCAGAGCTGAGTTCAAAGCAGATTGGAAGGGCTCAAGGGTTGTTTGGCCTTGCCTCTCTTGAGGACCTTGGGATGTTCATGTTGACCAATTTTGCATTCAAAGATGGCATCTATGCGGGAAGCACATTGAGCATGCTTGGAAGGAACCCCATTGCGGAGCAAAATAGAGAAATGCCAATTGTTGGTGGCACTGGTGCGTTTAGATTTGCCACTGGCTATGCCATAGCAAATAGTGTTAATTCCATTTCTACCCCTGAACATTTTGTTGTGGAGTACAATATTACACTGCGTCTCTCCTAATGTGTCCCTTTTGTCAGGGTAGTAGTGTCCGTTAAAATAAGTGTCTCAGTTAGTGGGATCATTAGTTTCAGCTGGTTAGATCGTGGCGCGTATTTTTAATCAAATTTGATATATTATGTTCTGTCTTGTTATATTTGTCCATTACAATGTTGCTGTTTCAGTTGTCATTTTCTTCTTTTTTCTTAGCAAACAGGACAAAGTTTGCTTTTTTCCAATGTGAGTTGCTTAAATCACTAACTTGTAACTTTGCAACGTGAGATTCCTGCGACTGTAAATGCTTTCTGTGGACTTTCACTTTGTCAGCAGCTTCTTTGAACCCTCAGCATCAACCATTGATCGAATGTGAGAAGTTTTAGCCTTCACCAATGTAGTAAATTTTCTCTTTTTTGTCAACGTTATTTGGAACTGCCCCAACCCTAACTTAGCGAGAGCACATCCTAAGTGCAATGTAGGTTAGGTCATAAGCTTTTATAGCATATGTAGTTGTGCGAAAAATTCATTTAAATATGTATCTATTTCTAACATTACATGTGTTATAGCTTTTATAATAAAATATGATTTAACATATTGTTATCAGATTTCTAAACATGTACTTAACTAGTCACTTAACATATTTTTTTAGTTGCTTCTTTATACTACCCTTAGGTTACACCATCTTGTATTCTTTCCCCTGAAATGAGAAACTAGAGGAAATATAAATATAACCATTAATCAATAGAATTTGACTTAAATTTTGTAAAATGCAATCATTTAGATAATAAATTGTGAATATGTATTAGCAAATATTTCACTTTATCAATTTCCTCCGTAATTATCATGTGTACTGTATTCTCAAAATTACATATCCAATTAATAATATAACCCACACGTTCCTATAAAGAAGATTCAAATTCAATATTACATATCAAACAAAGAAAAAACATCTGAAGATTAATTAACCAAAATACTAGCTGCTCAATTGAAAAATCAACAAATTTAAACAAAAATTAGCTACGTGCATTCTATAGAATACTTGATAGTTTTATTATTAAATAAAAAAAACATTGCAATTGTGTATCCACAAAATATTATTTCGAAACCCCAATTTAAAATGAATAAGCCCTAAGTAGAGGCCGACAAAATAGCGTCAAGGAGTAAACCATGAATTTCTGAAGGAGCTGTAAATTTGTATTTTTCAACTAAACAATTTGCGAAAGTTTTACAATGATGAACCACCACAAAATGAGTTTGATATGATTCCCCTCCAAATTTGTCATGCAATTAGAAAACTTTAATAACCCTAAAACGAAGGAAGGGGGGAATCAGTCAACCTATTGATACCTAAGGAAGCAACACTAAATCGTTAGCCTCCTATCCATACATTAGGCCACCACCCTAACTGCATTAATGCCAGTTGCACTCAGTATATATGACTGACAAGCGATCAACCTCAATAATGCTGTAATTTACAACTCTCCTGCCCATGAGAAACCAAGATGGGGGTCGAAAGCAACCACTGATCCGACCAAAGAATCGATCAAAAATTACTGGCTCAAGGTGATGAATAATTAGAAAAAAGATGTAACAAATTTTCCAATGTTCCGGGAGTGAATTTTCTAGCAAATAGATAACACGGCTTCTGAATCCCATTCCATAAGCAAGGCCAACTTTGAACTTCTCTCTGTAGCAACAAGTGGTAATTTGTTAAGTCGCTTAATGCATTCTAAATAAATCAAAGGGTCAGAGAGCACTGAGAGAGCAAACCTTCTCATCACTGGTGACGTGAACACTAACATCAATGGACTGCAAACATAATGGACTAACCATGAATATCCATGAGCTCAAATTTGAAAACAATTCGAAAGAGAAATTCAGTAAGTAAAGAAGATATTCAATTTTTTCCCCACAACGCAGACAAGGAAGCTTCAAGAAGTTGCTCAAATGACATGACATACGCACTACATAAAGCAATTGCTGGCAACGAGATGCCGAGATATACAAAAGACGGTGAGACTGGACCAGATACAAAGAATAGAAAAATAAGCCTGCTTGACAGAGACGAGAAGTCCAATAATTTGAGGCAACTTCATAAATAATAGAAGATAAATCATATATACAAACTCGCACATTTATATCTACAGGCTACGTATCAAGGAGAGTTATCCATTTTTTCACTTTTTCTTGAAGTCCAATCTTTTGTTAATATTACAAATAAAGGGGTCAAAATTGTCATTACAACTGAACCACAAAGGTCAAGTACTTTAGGATATGTCAGGGAATAGGGTTTTTGCGAAGAAAAAAAGGGTAGCTTTTTTATTTTAAAATAGTGTTATATAATGTTTATAAAAATAAATAAAAGATTAAGAAAAGAAAAATTTTACTTTTTCTTCCCTTTTTCTCCAAAATCATACTCCCAAACATACCCTATTTAGTTTCGAAGTGTTTTTATTCAATTTTTATCTTGTTTGTATTTCAAAAAAGAGAGAATTTCCATGTTTAACATAAGAATGGATTTTCTATTTACACCCGCATCACAGATGCCTATTTTTGCATTAAAAACTAATAGGATCTGTATAAGTTATAGCAGCACTATACCGTAATATTCCTCAAAAGCTCATACGTAACATCCTGAGGCCTGTATGATTTTGGATGCCATTTTCTCTCAGACCAGTCAACATGAGTTACCGACCAGTTTGCAATTCCACCAGGATCGACAATCTAAAGCAGAATGGTAAACCAATTACCTGACTGCTGATATTGTTAAAATAGGCCAGTATTACAATAGAAATCCTCACCTGGAAGAAGGTAGGTAAGTAATGCTCATCCGCAATGCAATTCTTCCCTTCCCAACCAGGCTGTAATATCAAGAATATTCACATTAACAATTGAACATAACCAAATTTAAAAAATTATTAAATTCTTCTACAGACATTTGATTATACATACATCCATACACAGTACAATGGTGTGCACGCACACACATACCTACGTGTATGTATGTATTAATGTATAAAGTTTGTTGCTAGTGACGATAAGATGTTCGTTTTCTAGTTTGAATAGCAGTACTGGATATGGATTTAACATTCTGACTGTCAATATAAGAGGCACATGTCAAGCAGGATAAAATTATGATAATAATAATTACAACTTTATGAAGTACCAAAACAAAATGAAAGTTTTTCAAAATCAACTTATAAATAACTCCATATAAACAAACACATTAAAGATAAAATTTCTTAAAGTAGGAATTGAATGTAAAAGGTCAGTGTCTGAAGTTTTCCATAATGAATTTTCTCACTAGTCTTATTTACAGTAAAAAAGAAGAAACGTTCTCTACATTTCTTTATCTCGGCATAGTTAATGAGTTTGCATGTTGACCCTAAAAATTAAATACTACGTTTGCTTGGTTTGATGCCCATGGCAGTTTAAAGCAAACTAATATTTTTTTTAAGTAAAAATACTTTAGAAAATTAAGAAAATATTCAAAAATGATAAATGAAAAGAAAATTCCTCTAAATGTTAATGGCAACAAGAACTGCACCTGACAGTATGCATGAAATTTTGAGTAATACAGATTGTCAGCCATAACTATAATAGCATGCTGCCGCTTCATCGAAAACCACTGCATCAGGAATTTAAAAATTAGGCAGAAGCATCAAAATGTATGACATTTAAATGAGCTACAGTTTAAATTATATAAAATGAATCATGTGCCTCTCCACATCATGTGTGATGCAAATTAAACTACAGAAAAGTAAAATTAAGGAGGGGATTTCAGGCAAGAACAAAGAATTACTACTGCTGTTAAGAATCTATTCACCACTATACTTTAAGATAAAAGATTACTACAGCCATGTGTTGTAACTGATGCTTTAGTAAAGCCTATTGTGACATAAATCATGGCCACCTCCATTTATCCAATTGATATCCTGTGAAAAGGGAAATTGCAAAATAAACTAGCCCAAATACTAGGTTCAAATTCCACATTCCTTGTACAATAATATCCAAGAACAATTTCTACTTAAAATACAGAATTCCAGGCAATAAGATTTAAGCAAAAATCACCTGTGCACCCTTTCTAAAGTCCTTCATCTCAACTTCGGGTAACATGCGTTCTGAATACCTGCCATTGCCATGAGGACCAGGATCCTTAAAGCTAATAAGAAAAGGAAATGTTGCATTAGTTGAAGACACCAAATTTATAATAGAAAGCAGAGACCAGATGAACACAACCCACTCTACAAAAAACACACGGACGTAGGTATACATTATGCAAAGCATGACATACCAGTCCACAAAGCTGATATTTGCATGCATCAGATAATTGAAAATATAGTCAAAACTATACAGTGGCACACAGCTGCAAAACAAATAAAAAAAAGATTTATAAATTAAAATAACTCAATATAACTAACGTAAATTACAAGGCAATAAGAACAGCATTAAAAGCAATTTCATGCCCATTTACCTATCAGACAGTAAAACAAATTGCTGGTTATCAGGATCTAGTAAAGCATTTGCCAGAAGTCGTCTCTCTGCATCAACCATAGATATTTTACCCCACACCACCTGTGGAAAGACAACTAATAATTATCAAAGCTGTAACTAACTAGAAAACAACAGATTGCCGGAAACAACTGATAATTACACTTGCTAACACAACATCTATTTTTAGAACAAATAGTTTAAGTTCAAAAATATTCAGGAAACTATTTTAAAAATATTGTAAATTCTTGTAAACAGGATAAATTGCTAAGGGATTCTAAAACATAGTAAATTCACCCAGGTAAAACTAGACTGAACTTGATGGCTTCTCAAGTTACACTAGACTTCTACAATATTGTGAGTAAGTATACAAATATACTATAATACCAAATCTCATTTCCAGTTAACAATAAGAAAGGGTGAAATTGGGGCTTTAAGTTGCCAGTGCAAAATATTGGCAACTCAGATGGTCAGGTTGATGTAGGGTACAACATTATATTCCTAGGCATGTGTATTACTATTAAATAGTTACACTATATTCCTAGGGTACAAAATATTGGCAACTAAGTTAATCTCATGTTGAGAATAAGTCCAAAGGAGATTTTGGTGTCAGAACCCAGTATATTTGGGTCCTCTGAAGCAGGAGGTTCACTTTGATCATTATGTTAGCAAAACGTATAAAAAAATGCCTCTTTTAATTAAAGAGTATGCAAGAAGAAAAAGAAATTAAAGAGGAGAAACAAGAAATCACAACAAATTATATACACAAACATAAGAGACAAAACAATTAATAGATGATAATAAACAAACAATCATGATACTAGTTACACACCTGGTCACTGCGTATATCCCGATTAACAAAATATCTGCTCACATGAACTGGTTTAGTCTTAGATGAATGCACATAAACAGAGAATTTCCCTTCATGTCCCTACCAAAGAGATGAGCATTCTTCCAGGTAAGTGTACACTAAATAATTCACATGATTCAGAAGCAAAGACAATCAACCAACAAAATTACAAACACAAACTAAGGCTGTTCATTTTACCTTACATGTATAAAAAATTTATGAATAGAATACAATTCAACAATTTTGGTTGGTTTTCCATTAGAATAGGGCCTAGCAGACGTTTGATCAACATACATTATTTTCCCTTTCATGATTCCTCCCTTATAACGCGTGCAACAACTTTTCAATGGGTAACCAAACACACCTGAAATCATACAACTCAGTACTTTGCCCCTTTATTGCCTAGCACAAGAAAGACTCAAAGATCACTAACTAATTTCATGCAAAGCATTTATTCAGTACTCAGACAAAGGTACAATAAAATACTACCCAATTGATGGAATTCCTAGTGTCATTTGAGAGTACAACAGGCCATTTCACTAACTCGAAGTCAAAATCATGCTACTCAAGGATCATATGTTTTAGAAGTATCACATATTCACAAGTATTTGGAAGTGTTACATAAACTTTGGAAAGGATAAGACATTAGTTGATATAGTAAGTGAGAAACGAGCTGGCACATACTCAAATCCTATTACAAATTAGCCATCGTTCATTGTCCTAGCTCAGACAATTGTCATATTCAACTTGCTCAGATATTTGTTTGTATAAGAGATTGTTAACAAAAATAAGATATGTGTTGTGAAAGAAATGATACAATGCATCAAAATAATCATAATTACAGATAAAATAGACAGGTAACAATTCCTTACTTGGAAAAATTTATCCCACAATTTTTCAAATGGTAGAGAACCAGGCGTCAAAAACATGAAGGCAATTTTTGGATTTTTTGAATGAATCAGTAGTGTGCTCAAAATATCCCTAATAACAACACGTGATGCAATCTCATCATCTGTATATTCCCTTGCAGGAGCAGGAGGAAGCCAATCAGCAATAGACTGGCACCTTCGAGAAGAAAAGATGTAACAAGCTGAACTGCTTTTTGGCGGGTAGATATAAGCACATATCAGAAACAAGCACACAAATAGAACCAATATAATAATCCACGTTGGCTTCTTCATGGGAGGACGATGACGAGACCCAGGCATGATCTGCATATCGCCCATGCCTAGGCGCCAAACTTTTTCTGTCTTCATATAGATGTAAGTGAATCACAGTTTTCACCTCCTACAAATCTCCTTTTCATTTATATACAGCACCCCTCAAACACAATAAATCAAGATAAATCGCCAATAAGAATCCTTCAATGGATTGATGCATTAAAATCTGAAACCAAAACAGAAAAGGCAGATAAATCAGCAAACAACTGTCATTCAAATGCACTCAGGCCCAGAAACTAACATCTGAAGCAAGACTAATATGCATGGTGCATGCTACATAAAAAGCTCACCACAAAATTGACTGCAATAACTCCAGATATGATCAGAAGCAAACTTCTGACACATTGTACAACTCCACATAATCTACAATACAATGAAAATAATCAAGTAGGAATTCCAAAGATCAAGTAATGGATGTAGAAACCAAAATATCAAATATCCGTTAGAGCTAAGAGAATCTTTCGTGACTAACCAACAAGTTATCATGAAAAGGAAGGAACTGATCTGTGCAAGGTTAAACCCAAAATCAGAAGCAGTTGTCCCAAACCAATTATACGGAAAAAGTTACTTAATTACTTAAAGAAGAAAATTATTCACATAATCCAACCATTCCAATATGATCGCACACATTCCCAATTCCTTGATCATTAGAGCGAGAGTAACCAAATAGAATGTATAATAACAAACCCCGTGTTCAGGGAGGAGTAAGGGATGCATCTCTGAAATCTAAAATCACATAACAAACTCCATTTTTCCACCAAAGTTTTCTAGTTTAACAAAATATAACCATTTAATCAGGTATCCGAAAAAGGGACGTTCCACAAATGAAAAAAAAAAATAGAAAAACACGAAGCATGAAAAATATTAAGCACTCAATAACATTTCATCATATTAATAAACCCAATACAACCAATCAATTCAACGTTTGCCGAGCATCTCAAGTAACAGTTAAAACAGCCTCAATATAATTTTCATTACTTCCAATTCAAATGATTTCTACTAACGCACGAGTATGCACCCGAACTAAGACCAGTTCAAAATTCAAATACAAAAAACATCGAAAAACCCGAACCACCAAACAACTTCTTTGGTTAAGCATAAAATAGAAAAACAGAGATTGAACTTGAATTAACTCGCAAAGCACTGCATCATCTTACCTAATTTATTTTTAAAATCTCTCTCTCTCTCTTTCTCTCTCTCACACACACAAAGAAGAGGAGAAGAGGAATGGGGCGTTGAAGGATCTAGGGCAAAGGACAAAGAGAAGAATCAGAGGAAACCATGCACCAACACGATCACAACAACTCATACATATGGTACGTTCTTCTCTCTCTCTCTCTATTCAGTTTGTCACTGATTCTTCAAAACGCCAACCGTTTCGTTTAGTTTCTGTTTTGCTCTCACTGTCTAAAAATCAAAAGGGGACTCTCTCTCAGTCGCAGACCAAAACACTCTCGCTGCCTTCGCCTTTGTTCTTAATCGGAATAGAAATAGTCATATAAATAAATAAAAAATAATAAACTTATTATATTAAAAATATAATAAATAATTTTGTTAATTATTTAACTCAATTTGAATTGAACTAACATTTTTCTTTATTTAATCACATGGTTAAAATTCCAGAAACCCTTCTATTATTATATATTTATGTCTTAGTTGCCAAAAATAAATTCCCGTGTGCTGAGTGGTGTTTGAAAGTTTGATAAGATTGGCTAATTCCACCGATCAAATCATGACTAAGTAATGTTTATGGTCGAATAATAATATTATAATGTTCAACTTTATTTTCAATAACCAAATTAGTAAATTAAACAAATCAAAACAAATTATAATCTAAAGGTTTTTATCAATGTAATAAATATATATTAGTACAATATTGGCCCTCCTCATATACTATATATTATGTGTGGAAAAGAAAAAGAATCATACAGAAAGTTAAAATAGTGTAGTAAATTTAAAAAGTTGTTACTTGTACAATAAAATAGCTCACATATCATGCATAATTTTATTTATCACGGTAATCATTTTTATTTGTGTTGTTTGTTCGAAGATTTGTATAAAAGAATTTATTGTTAACAGATAGTTAATGTGAAAGAAAGTTTATTAAATTTGACCCTATTAATAGAATAAATAATAACAATTGGAGGAGGAAGCTAACAAGTGTTAATTTACTATTTGTTGTTTCTTCCAATACAACCATGAAAGGTATCGCCTAATGGAGAAGTATGAGCGTGACCCCTACTTCGGGTTGACCACTATCACTAGTGGTCCTTCATCAATTATAAATAAGCTTTTTCTTCTTTTAGTTTTTGTTGATAAGGGAATTTGGTATTTTTGTCATGGCACTTATGTCATATATGCATCTTTTGAAGACCAACGGGTGTTTTGCTTCTTTATTTGCCCTGCCTGCAAAATCAAGTTTATATATATTAATCTTAATATACATTAATTAAAATAGTTGTAGTTTACAGTGAATATGCTTTTTTTAAAATTAATTTTAAGATTGAAACGACAAACTCTTAATTGTATTGTATGAGACAATTTTAATATTTCACGAGGAGAGTAAAAAATATTAATTCTGTATACCTTATAATCCCTCCTTTTAGCATACATATTTGGAGTAGTAGGGCGAAATGGATAAAATTTAATAAAACAGGATTTTGTTTATACTTAATAATAATATTCATTCTTTAGTTATTTTAAAAAGTTAATGAAGACTAGAGCTAATAATTTTAAAAAAATGAATTTAATCATATTCATAAAGACTAAAGTTTTAAGTGAACGAAATATTCACCCAATCCAATTATTTGACATTGTAAGTTAATGCGCCCAATGCACAAAGCTTGAAAAACACTAGCTGCACTTTAATTTAATGAATTATAGTTCAGTTAATAGATAGCAGTAAAATAGCTTGCTAATAAACAAATTGGGATTGGCACAAATAGGAAGGGACAGCACAACTCCGAAAGAACAAAGAACGAAAAGAAAAAGGGGGAAAATCAGATGCCACTGTATATGGCAAACAAGGACCATAGAAAAGGAAGAAAACAAGATGCAAGCTCAGACATTGGAGAAAACGAATTATATAAGACAAGAAGGTTGGTACATCAGTAAAAGAATTAAATGAAAAAGCAAAAAACCAAAATGAGAACTTGTTTAAAAAATTAAATTAAATAAAAATTCATGAAATAAGAAAAACTAAAAACCTTACTCAACATTTTAAAATTTAGCCAAAAGACTGAAATACTAAATTTAAATTTAAAGCGGTGAAATTAGTGGAGTGGTGAATCCGAAACCTGGATTTTTGAAGGATGTTTGAAGTTCTTGCGCTGTGTACTTGTCGATCAGAGCATGACTAAACAGTAAACACAAGTTGTTATATAATTATCTTCTTCACTCTCTCTCTCTCTCTCTCTCCCTGTAGCGGAGTGAATCAGCAATTGACCAATACGAAGATTGATAACCCCCAAAATAAAGTGGTAGAAGAGAAGAAAGACGAGAAGGGTGCACTTTCGACGCGCTCATTCTAGAAAATTCATTCTAGTTCTAACCGGAGAGTGGTTTTCGTACTAATAATCTAGGGTGTGATTGGATTATGAATGAAATAAAAATAAATAAATAGAAAAGAAAAAACAAAAAACTTAAAAATTAAATATAAATAAAGTGTGTCTAATTCGGTCAATTGGACCATTTATAAGCTCCTAAATCAAACAATCCAAGAAATATGAAATGTGTCAGCACTAAAATTTTGGAAAGATTTAGCAATTCAGAGTCTTAATAGGAAAAGCACAAACGAATATTTAGTTATACAATGTTATCCATGTCTTCAAGAAAACAATAGAAGGTAATTAAGTTTTTTTTTTTTTATTTGGATCATTTAGAAAATAGTTAATTTTAGGCATTTTTTATTATGTATAATTCCTAGTAATTTTTCTTGTGCAGTGTACATTGTACATGTATCATTAAATTATTTTTAAAAATATAATTAATAATATATTATATATTTTTAAATTTAATAAAATTTATATTTTTAAGTAAATATTATAATTATTATTATTAAATAAAATTAAAAAAATTATGAAGTCTTAAAAAGTAAATATTATAATCCACAACCTAGTTGACAATGAGCATAAATTACTCTACATGGAAGTTTGAAATTCATTGGTGGATCATTTAGTCAAGCTGGAATTGAAAATATAGTAGGATTGCTATTTTGGATATTATAAACAAAGATATAGCTAGATTTCTAATAGTTATCGAATGAAATAACACACTCTTCTTAACTCTACTTATGATTAATTATTTTTAAAAAAAGTTAAACTAATTTTTGAATAATGATTAATTTATTAAATAAATACTCCAACTTCTTAAAAATTTAGCCAATTGCAAAAACTGTATTTAAAAATGTGTTGTCACCATTTTTCTTTTATATTATTAGCCCAACAAAATACATTGACCAAAGACAAATAAAGAGAGAAAAATTGTGATTTTCATTTTTTAAAAGACTGATGTGACTCAATTTCAAATCTTTTATAAACAAAAAAGAATAGTGTTTTACTCAATAAAAGATATCTAGCCAAGGACAAGTATCTACAGTAAAAATTCCACTTCACCAGTGGCAATCTTAACCATCCATTTAATATCTTTTATCTTTTATGTTTAAAAAAAAAAAAACATTTCAAGGGTCGGGATCCTCTTCAAATGGAATTCTAAATAATGCAGTAAAAAATTAAATATCAAAATGAATATGATACGTGAATAAATTAATACTTAGATAAAAGTGAAAATAGGTGATTGGACTGACAAGTAAAATTGAAGTATTTATCAAAACATCATAATTATTCTTACCTAAAATTCACTTTCAATAGCAACAAAAAGCTTCTTTTCACCCATTTTACACTCTTATTTTCTGTGACATAAGGGTTGAGAGCAAATCATTTTTGTAGACAAGCAGTTTTCAATGCCTTTAACTCCAATTTTTTTTGGTGACCCAGCCATCTTTGTCACAAGTTAATGGCATATGCAGTTTTCAATTACATGTAGCTAGCTAGCTGAGAGATACTTCTAGGTGGTAATTTCTCAATCTTATCAACTAACAAAAATATTATCCCTGTGTAATGTCAACCATATAACCCACAATGTTATTAGACTTGATCAAAAAGGAAAATTCGGAAGATATCATTCACCATAAGATCTTTTTTAATAATGTGCTCCAAAGTTATATTAGGTCTTCCTCTACTCCATTTTGCAGCCATAAAATCCATGTGATCCCTTCTCTTTACTGCTGTATCTCTAGTGACCTTTTTTGCATACGTCAAAATCACCTTTTAACTGATTTTTTTCATATTCTCAATGATAAGTGTCACACCAGTATTTTCTCGTAAACAATCATTTCGTATCATTTTTTTCAACGTGACCACACGTCCATTTCAACATTCTCACTTCTGCTACTCCGACTTCTTTCTCGTGATCTATAAAGGCCAAAGAGAGATGAAAGTAAAAATTTAATGTTTCAAAAATCAAATATCCTCCATCTTAAAGACGGAAAGAAAGATGGAAATGCACTAAGGAACAAAAAAATCCGACTTAATCTGCTTATAATACCATGAATAGGAAAAAAAAAATACTTACATTTAATCACCATAAATAGGGGAGAAAGACTTGGTCAACTCACGCCTAAAGCTGCAACTAGCATGCAATTCATTGCTTTCTACCATTACCTTTTGTCTGAAAACTCAACACTATGAAAGCTCTTGTGTTGAGTGTTATGATAGCAGCCATACTACATGTATACCATGGGCAATAAATTATAACATTGGAAGAATCAACCACAGATGGCAAAAATGTTACAAAACGTAGAGTAATGTTCTACAAAATACATGATTCAATAGCATTCTTGCAATGTCCTTACATTTTAATACATGTGCGCTTGGTCTATATAATGTTTAAGGGGGAACGGGAACAAAATATTTCCACTTATTAATTTCATGGTAAAAAAATAACCTGTCTTTGAGTCTAAATCATTTGTCAAATAGTTTCTCATCACGACAGACAAAACCATTGTTCAATTGTTGCTTCAAAACACATTTCTTTATTAGTTGCTCCATATAGGCTCATGGGTCTAGCTTGCCCACTTTTTAAAAAAAATAAAAGTCAAGATAAATTGTTTTCATCAGATGTCATAAGAAGAAAGAAAGCCATTTTTGTTTCATTTATAACATGATATTAAGCTAATTATAAAATTAATTGATAAATTGGTAAAAATTATATTCAATCACACACAGAAATATAGCAATTTACCTTGCTGTCCCAGAGTTTCAGAAATTCATAGAGAACTGTCCCTGTCCCAGAAAATAAAATATTACCATAACTGTCATACACACAAATTACATGTTAGATTTCAAATACATTATTGCCTACTCCTCTAACTCATCCACACACATTATATTCTTAATGCATTGATGCCGATGCCTATAATTACACATTATATTCTGAATACATAACTGCCACATGGCAGATTTTATTTTAAATCCTACGCCTCCTAGAATAAATATGTAACATAGGTGGTTTGCTTGATCCAATGACTGGATTGGAGACCCTACCAGCTAACTTGTCAATCAATTGAAAATGATCATAATGAAACAATAACCAAGATCTACAAATGTCCAAAATTCTCAGAATTATGTAAAAGTCCCAAACAAATCAATTTTCACGGTAAACCGAAACATGACTATATGTAATCTTGACCAAAGATTCATTTCCTCCACGCCAGAAACAACTAAGTCTTATCACCAAGTGAGATCGGCTACCTAAAATCAACACATGAAATGACTACAAATCACTAAGTACAGCTAGCAAGTATAATCACAACCAAAATTTTCAAGCTAATGAAGAGTAGAATAACACTTATCAATTCAGTAGGCATTGGAAACAACAGCATAATCAGATTTGATGGAGAAACGGGCAATCCACTAATTCCTTAAATTTTAGGATTTCAAAAGCTTTCAGAAAAAATCAGTTCAAGGGTCAATTCCCCTCATCAAAATGCAGATTAGACTTTTTATTCCAAAATTCAAAATTTATAAACAAAAAATATAGATATGTAATTTTTGAGTTTATGAAAAGGAAAAAAAAAAGGTCTGGGTGATGTATACATGTTTCTTCTTTAATTTTTCCTGGTATATTTGTTTCCTATGCCACCTTTCTTAACTCAAAATTTTATTTCTTTTATGTTTAATAAAGCCTATTTTATGTCATTTGATTTGAAGATAGGGGGATGTTGCAATTCTTGAGTTCATATCGTCTATCATTCAAACAAAAGATGCCCAATAAATAACTGTTAGACAGAAAATAAATCATGACTCTAAAATAATAACATTTACTGATTTACCACAAAAGGCAGGTGTCTTCTGCCTGAAGAATTAGTTCACACAAATAGTTTAAAGAAAAGTGTTTCAGTCTGCTCATTTAGAGTCAAACGAAATTTTTTTTTTTTGCATAGAAGTACTCTTTTAGCCAGCACGTACCGGAACCTATGTGGCCTAATTACAGATGATGAAAACCACATATAATTGGAAACAGAAAAGAAATAGAGTATGAAACAAATTTCATCACCTAAGTGTAAGTAAAATCTTTATTTAGTTTAATAAACAGAAAAAATATAAAAATAAAATCATTGTATAGTTAATTGAAAGGGAAACCACCCTTGTATTTAAAAAGGAATAAATAAATAAAAATATTAAAGTTTCAGTTGTATCTTCAAGATGTGCTTTCCAAGAATCAATGCTGTATTATAATTTAAGCAACAAACCCAAATTAAATGAGACAAAGGTTTATGTATATTTACCATTTATTCAATAGCAGATCCTATAAAGGTTCAGTGCTGAGTCCAACTCCAACAAGTTCCTAGCAAATCACTTTATGTGTGAAGCTGCAGATAAGAGAATATAGTTTAGGAATGATAGTCTAAATTGTCACATGGAAGATTTAGCTGCTTTAATAAACAAATTCTATAATTGCCTTTTTGATTCAGGTCCAGCATTTAAGATGATTCTGTTCCTATTGTTGCTGCTATATCTTTCTATCAATAACTTGAATTCTCCACCATGGATGTCATAGTTCTCATCAGTCTTTAAATATGACATTGACTTATAAGAGAGATGATTTGGTTTTGTGACTTCTGGCTAAATGCCATGGCACAAATTCTAAGAAATAAATGGAAACATCAATGTAAAGACACACAAAAGACCAAGCAGTTGCAATATCTTTCCCAATACCCAGAATAAATTTTCAGTGTCTCATGCTTGAAACAAAATTCTATGATAAGTTTCAAAATAACAATTTATCATTATTTCTACTCATTTTAGATGCCTGTCCTTTTCAGATTGCTGATTAGGGCAACAAGTCAGACCGAGAAGAGGGCATATACGTTGAGTTCCATAAACTAATTTAACAGAAGCATGGACACCTTTGATATGCCTTAAGATTTAGGGTTAGGGAAGGAGGAAAAGAGCACAGCTTCTGGGAGGCAGTAGCAACGTATTGTGTTACAATACCATAGTCTAATACCCCTATTTATAAAATTAGATCAAGTTCCATTACAGCTACTGCTGGTACAAACCCAAGCCTTCAGACAATGAGACAGATAACCCTGATATCTAATAAAAATTGGGGAGTGGGAACACACAGACACACCATTAACCCAAAAAAATTGAAAGGCAAAGAGGAAAAGCACACAGGAGATCAGACATAAGCAGTTACACAAAATAAATTAAGTAATGTGGAGGGCAATAGATCTGATAAAATAATGCAATTGAAAAGAATATAGTTATGTAAGGCATGCTGAAATTGTCTAACAAAGAAGTCATGAATTTACATATATAAAAAGTGACATTAATCATTCAGGTAATATTTGTAAAGCTCCATTCTAATTTGACTAGTTTCATTACACTAAGTTTGAGTACCAACCGGATGGTAAATGATTGTACACATGTATTATGTATATTGTATAGGCACTTTAGAAACTTAATTATATGAAAGATTTTTACCTGCAGTTATCATCCATGTGCACTCTTCACTGGCATTGCAGGGAGAGAAGTATTGCATTAAGAGAATTCCTTTTCCTTTTTATCCCATATGTTCAGTTTATAGACTCCATCAGGTCAGAAAGCATTTCTTTTGCTGATTGATTGGCTTTCTGCAACTCCCCTTTGGCACAAAGTGCAGCAATTCTAGAATAATAGAAGTCAAAGGCAGGCAGCTGGGATCTTGTCATACAACTACCATTAACTGTTGAAAGATTCCTTACATCTTTCTCATCACAAGATCCAAAACTCAAACTGCTCTTGCAAGAGGAAGGTAGAATGCTTGAAGATTTTGAACCAAAATCGTTCCATTCATAAATCTTCTGCTGTTTATGGAATGCTTGATTATAAGTGGACAACCTTTGAACAGGAAAAAGTATACATGCAATTTCATTGAGAACCGTAACAGCTTCTTGAATCCTTCCTTCCTTGCACAAAGCGGCCATAAAATCACTTATCGACTCAGTTTCAACCTCCTTATTGACTAAGTTAATTATCTCGGTCACATCCTTGGACTGGAGCATTTCTATCATAACACTCCTGGTTTCTTCCATTCTTCCCTTGGCACATAGACCTCTTATCAAATACAAGAACCCCAAAAAATCCGGTGATATGTCCTTCCTCTTGAACTTATTATAGTATTCAAGGGCTCCTTCCATCTCACCCTTCTGGCAATAGCAATTAATTACAGCACTAACAGTCAGGTTGTCAGGCTCAATATTATTCATCTCCATATCATTTAGAAACTCAAATGCCTTCTCTAATTGACCAAACTTACAAATACCATTAAGTATTGAATTGTAAACTTGTATTTTTGGTTGAAAGCCTTTCAGGATCATTTTCCTGAAAACATGTTCTGCATCTAGCAAAAATCCCTCCCTACATAGAGCATAAATTAATGTAGCATAAGTTATTTCAGATGGTATCAAATTAAGTTTCTCTAATGAATCAAATAGCCGAAATGCTTCAATAAGACGTCCCTCGTGGCACAACCCATTTATTATTGAATTATATATGACTATATTCAAATTCATTCCTTTGTTTTCAACAGAGGCACAAAGATCCAATGCTTTATTGATATATCCTTCCTTGCACAAGCCATCAATCACAATGGCATAGTCAACATACATTACTGGTAAATTATCTTGACTCTCCATGACAAGTTTAAATGCATCTAGAGCTCTACCCTCCTTTACAAGAATCTTGAGAATGGAGACAGGAAAAGTGACTGCTGAAGAGTTATCCACTGTTTTCCCAAGAAATCGAAGGGTGCTGTTGACATCTTTCAGACAGAGGTAGCATGCAAGTATCTTTTGTACCATTGGTTCAACTAGACCATGTTCTTTCAGAAAACTATTCAAAAGGGGCAAAATTTGCTCCCTATTCCCACTACAAAGATGCCCTCTTGAAATCAAATAATAAGACTTGGTTGTGACACATAAGCCTTTCCTTTTCATCATCATACACAATTGATTTGCATCATCAACTAATCCTCTTTGACATAATAAAAAGATGGAATCATTACATACAGCATCATATATGTCTGGCCCCAGACCTTCCATTCTGTAAACCAAATCTAAAGCCTCTTTTGTATTGTTTTCTTTAAATATTGTGTTCATTAACATCCTATATGTGCCTATATCCAACTCAAGACCTTTATGAGAGAGTTCACGCAATGCCTCAATGGCCATTTCTTCCATACCCATTTTGCAAAGGCCATTAATAATACTATTGTAGCATGCATCTGAAGAAATTGATGTCTTCCTAAATTGATCAAATACCTCAAGTGCCTTGTCAATTCTACCTACCTTGCAATACCCATCAATCATTGTGCAGTAAGTCACAGAATTCGGAACCAGATTCATTTCCAGCATTCCTTTGTAAAGTGCATAAACGTCTTCAAAAGCCCCAATCATAAACAGTGCTTTGATCAGTACATTACACATCACAACATCCATAGCTATTCCTGCTTCTTCTAGTCGCCTCTTAGTTTGCAAAATCCCCGTAATGTTCTCTTCTTCAGTATACCCATGCAACAACGTGCTGTACGTAATCACATCTGCAGAAACATCTTTTGAAAATTCGTCTGCCTCGGATGTCCTTCCATACTTGGATAAACCATTTATAACAGCATTGAATGTAACAACACTAGGACTAATCCCACTCTTCTCCATTTCATCAAACAGACAAAACACATTATCAAAATCTCCTCTCCTTCCAAACCCATCAATCAAAATCACAAACACAAATTCATCTAGTTCAATTCCCAAGTCTTTCATGCTCTTAAAAACAGTAAATGCTTCCTCTACCTTACCCTTCTTACAAAACGCAGACATGATTGCACTAAATGTAACCTTATTGGGTCTGCATCCTCCTTTTATCATCTTGGCCAAGAAAGTAAACGACTTTTCCACATCACCAAACTTGGAAAACCCATCTACGAGTATGGTATAACTCACAACATCATGATCAAAACCCTTCTCCACCATTTCTCTCATCCTCCTAAAAACCTCCACCAAATCCTTCCCTTCAACATACCCGTAAGCCCAAGCACTATACAAAACAACATCCAAACCCAACCCTTCCTTCTCCATCCATTGAACCAAATCACACACTTCATCAACCCTTCCCAATTTACAAAGAGCACCCACAAGAGCCGTGCAAGTCACCACATTGGGCCTCAACAAGCCAGAACCAGTAGCATTCTGGAAGAACCCCAAAGCAAGTTCCGGTTTTCCAATCCTACAGAACCCAGAAATTACAGAACTACACACAAAATCATCAAAAGGGTACTTAACACCATCCTCAGCCATCAACTCCAACACCTCAATGGCCTTACCCATGAGACCCTTCGAGCTCAATTTGTGAACAATGGAACAGAAAGTGAAGGAAGAGGGTAACACACCATGGTCCCTTATGCAACTTTGCAAAACTGAGAGTGCCCTTTCGGGGTCTTGATGCTTCACACAGAAACCTTGGATAAGAGAGTCCCACATGAAAGAGTGAGTGATATGCATGTGGGTGTTCATGAATTGTTCTGCTTCCTCGAATCTGTGAGATTTGAGGAGTGCCCACGTGAGAATTGAACGTGTTTGGTGGTTGACTGGGACATTGTTGGTGTTGAACTGAGAGAACAAATGGATGATTAGGTCGAACTTGTGAAGGTTGAAGAGGAAGAGGATGAAGCGATTGATGGGTTTTAGAGTGGGGGTGAAGCCACGTTTGAGTAAGGTTTGGAGAGAGAGGGCTTGTGAGGAGAAGGGTCTTTGGTGGAACGACATAGAAAGGAAAAGACAACACTTGGATTTCACAAACAAAGTTGTTCCGAGAACATATGCTCATGTTACTGTTTTGCTGCTGGTGCTGTTGCTGTATGGTTTTCATTTGAGTCGGAACAGGGAGCGTGGGAAGAGAGATGCTCCCTCTCTTCAATTGGGTAGCCCAATGTTTCACTGGGTCCAATAGTCTTCATCTAGCCCAAACTCCGTGATTGACCACCCAAATAAAACTTTGGGTCCAGTTGACCAAAAATATATAAACTTTAGGCCCTGTTTGGACTTTGGAAGATTGCAATTTTCTTTTAATTTTCAAATGTTAATTTTAGAATAAAATATTTTTTTAGTACCATCATCAATTATCAACCACCTTTCTATAATAATAATTGTTGACGTAATTACTTCCACAATTCACTATACTAGTTATTATTATTATTATTATTATTATTCAATTATTTTGATCATGTATTATTATTATTTTTTAATTTTTACTATCACTATCAACCACTAATTATATCAACGTTATCATCATTACTATTGAATTAAAATTATCATAACTATTGCTGAAATATCGCTATCAACTAATATCATTGTTACCATCCTTGCTATTTATGTTACCACAATTATTATCCTTAAATATTGTTAACATTATAATTACATAAATAATAATTATTATTATTATTATTTTTTCCCTCACTTCAATTGCCTATTATTTTATCTTTTATCATTATTATTATTATTATTATTAACTAACATATTTCTTCTTATTATTTTCATTAATTGTTACTACAATCATTGTTATTGTTTTTGTAACTAGTATTATGTAGTGTAAACATTATTGTATTTTTTTATTTTTATTAACTCCGTTATTGATATTATTATAATAATCACCACCGACTATTATTATTATTATTATCTTAATCATCGTTATCATTTGTAACTCATTTTCATTATTTTTTATTGATCATTATAATTAATTACCATAACCACAACTAGTATAATTATAATTATTGTTACTACTCTCATGATTATCCACCGCTATTATTATCACATTTGTCAGAGATCGAAGATGATGAATCATATATTTAATTAATTAATTTTAAAAAATTATATAATTATTAAAGCAAAAACTATTGAATATGTAACTAATTATCAAAATGATGAATTGCATTTTTATTTGATTTATTTTGTAAAATTTTCTAAGTCATCTATCGGTTCATTTATATTTTCTAAGTCAAAATTAACTCCCATTAATGTTTATACTTTCTTGTGACTTACATATAAAGGAAAAATCAATTTATAATAGAGTCAATTATACCTAATTTTATATAATTAATTGCAAGTGATGCAGATGACTATCCAATAACTTATATTTTAACTATATTTGTCATTGGTGTGAAGAATCCTTACGGTTGATCTCAAAATGTGGAAAAAAAATTTGATCAATATTATTATTTATCAATTTCTTTATCGTGTGTCCATATCTTTAATACATAATATATTTTAAATTGCAGTGACTAAAATGGTCACTGTCTATTAATTTATCATATAATATATTAAATTAAAAGCAGTTTATTGCAACATGTTTAAAAAATCAAAGTTCTTACATATGATAGCTCCATTACATATAATATGTTAACATTGTATATTAAACGTGATAACCTTTTTCCAATATTCATACTACTATCATTAGCCATTAACACGCATTGGATCATCATCATTGTCAAATGAGTATAAATTATTATACAGATATGCGTTAAAATTTTCATTATTTCTCTCTTATTCATGATCTTCGATTCAAGTAAAATTAATTACAATATCCTTGAACCATATTAATTAAGTTTCAAATAATTCTAAAATAATTAATCAGATTAAAAATTCTAATTTTTTTTTAAAAACGGAAGCTCCCTCGAGTGTAGCTGAATAATCCCACATACAGATCATATAACTAGTAAAATACTTAGGAGAATTTATTTTAACATGTTTTTAATTAAAATTTATTAAAAATTATGAGTTTCACTTTTTTATTCATAATTTAATACTTTTTATATTTTTATAATTTTTAATAAAATATAATTAATAAATAAAAGTATAGTAAAAACATGTTATTAACATTCTTCTCGGTTGAACAGGTGAAGTGATTATTTCGTTTTGGTAGTTCGTAAGGCAATTTATTGCTACCAAATTAAAAAGGTTGAAGTTGTCAAAAAAGTTGACCAGACAAAACCACAAATGTGCCGAAAAGACACAAAACAGAAAATAAGAAACACATTGTAATAATTGAAATGGTGAATAGAGAAAAATATAATAAAAAACACGGCATCAACATTAATTGAGGCTCTCAATTTTTTTGTTACTTATATTTTTATATATAAATATTCTTAAGCAATTATTTCACTTTAAGTGAATTATTTGTATTATATATATATATTATTGTTAATATATTATTTTAAAATTTTGATAAAATTATATACAAATAATATAAATTTTAGTAGTCAATGTCTAATGGCTCTTTTAAAAATTTAAGTCCAGATCTTCCTTCATTATTTATATATATATATATATATATATATATATATATATATATATTAACAATTATTAATGTGCATTTAAATTTTCTTATGTTGAAATATAGTGTAAACTAAATTTATTATAAATAATAATGGAAAAATAGTAATATTTTTCGTAGATATTTTAGTATATACTTTTAGGCACTAAACTAATAACAAGTGAATTTCTTGTGCACTGCATAGATAATTTTAAACTAAACTAAATTTATGTTTAATGAAAACTTTTTATAAAAATTATTAATAATATGAAAAGTCATTAACATAATTAATATATTACAATTAATGAATACAACGTTTAGTATTGTTAACATTCAATATAGCCTTTTTCTAAGTTATCTATATACTATATTTAGTAAATATACTAACTATTATGCTTGTTTAATCATTTTATTGGATAGTTTTATTTTAAAACTAATTGTTAGATTAAAAAAGCATTAATGTGGATTTCAATTTTGTTATTTAAAATATGTTTAAAACTAAATTTATGTTTCATAATAATAAAAATAATAATTTTTTTTAGTACATATTTTTTTATATACTTTTAGATATTGAGTTCGCAATAATTGTTTTTTTATAATAATAAATTTTTAATAAAATTTATAATATGAATGTCATTTTTCTACTAAATATAATAGTATAGTTAACATTTAATATAATGCTTTTTTATTAAATTGATTGCATATTGTATTAATAAATATAACATCAAATATTAATATACAATGAATTTTACACACACAAGCATGCATATTATTGGCATCACTTTGGTCTTTTATACAGCACATTCCTTGTCTGTATGATGTATAATATCAAATAAAAGTAAACGCGTAAGTTATCCAATGCTTTGAATTAAATGCAATTTTTTTTCAAGAGATGTTTACACCTGTAATAGTGACAAGTAGTACACAATAATGGACGCGTACATCTTACTCTAAGATAAATGCATTCAAAATAATATTACCTACCACACACTGTGTAAGCATCAACTTAGAAACAAAATAAACAAATATGCCAACCAATGCTTTTAAAGAAGGAAAAATAGATTTTTTTTTATTATGGATATTATTAATACACACCCAACATAATTTTTAATGTATTCTTAATAATTTTTAATAAAAAATTCTCATTATTTATTTATTAATTAAATAAATAGCATTGCATCTGCAAGATAAATAGCATAAAAACGAGAAGGGTCAGACTCATCCACCAAGAAGTGATGGTAGAAACTTTGCGTTTCTTATACTTCAGTCAAGACTATCGTGTTCTAAGTCCATTTTCTGCTGTTTGATGAATATTTTCATCATAGTCATATGGTCCTATCATATACTAAATCGGTAAAGCTTCTGACCCTAACCTCACGGCCCAGAGACTTTCAATTTCATCCAAAAATAAAATCAAAAGCCAATGCTATATAGTCTTGTAATAATTGAATTTACTTCATGTGTGGTTAAAATTAGTAATTTGGTTTTATTTTGACTGCTTCAACGGTACAAGTTTCATCATCTTAGTAGAGGAAAAGGACAAGGTCCACTTGGTCAATTTCCCATTTGATACGGTTGGGTTAGAAATTAAGGTGTTTGAATTGAAAATAATGGAATCCGGTCTTTTTTTATTTTACTTGAACTTGGTCATTGCAGTATTGCACATTTTCTCACTCAAACTAACATATATAAATGCCTTATTATCAATTGGCCACAGCTTCAGCTTAGAGTTTACAAATTGCACTTCTATTAAATAGCCACCCTTGTGTGTCCTGGAAGTTGAATAAGCAAGGAGATATACACAAAGAAATAGTCAGAAAAATCACTTCTTAGGTAACCAATAACCATCCATTTCATTTCCAAAAGGCTGCCGAAGCTTAAAATAACCAGAAACTTATCCATTTACGCATCAATAATCAAACCCCAATTGTCTATAGTATATAGTTAATATAGGCATACATAACTACTACCCTTGTATTGTTCTTTCGTTCTGCATCATTTACCAAGAAAGAAGAAGAGATGGGAGGGTGCTTTTCTTCTAAACCATCCTCCACATTCAACAATGTACGTTTGGTTCATCTTAGTGGTTATGTAGAGGATTTTGTGGAACCAATTTCAGTGAGCGAAGTCACAGGCAACACCTCGAAGCACTTTGTTTGCACGTCAGTTCAGCTTCTTTCCTCTTGCTCAAAACCATTGAATGGAGATACCCAACTCCAACCTGGAATTGTGTACTTCATGCTACCATACTCAATATTGCAAGCTGATGTTTCTCCTGTGGACTTGGCTTCCCTTGCAAAAAGGCTCACTACAATAGCCAAAACTAGCAAATGTGAAGACAAAAGGTCCTCACAGAAAGCTAATCCTTTGTTAAGTCAACTTGGGATGAGCAGTGTTTATAGTTCACCTTCCAGCAGTCCTGGCAGACTTGGCATGGTGGAGCAAATCGGTATGCCATATGGCGGACGCAGCCCGTGTAGAATGCAGCCATGGAAACCTATCTTGGACACTATCAGAGAGAAATCATTCAATAGAAGAAGTGAATCAGATTTGCAAGAAATTTATTGATGTTTGCAAGACCTTGGGTAAAACTAGAAAGGTAGATGCCATGTCGGGTGGTTTCATGATGAATTCTTTTGTCTAATTAGAAGGTGCCAAAAAATTTGGAATTTTGAGACAACTGTTTTTGAAAATTTGTTGTGTATAATTCTCCTATATTGTACTTAAGAATGTTCCTCCTCAAGGCATGATCCAAATGATTAAGCACTTGATATTTATATTTCAGTTTGCAGATTTCTGGATAAAATCTTGTTTGGATTAGAAATCTAGAATTGAGTGAGGTGGGATATCAGTGATTTAGATTGCCTCACAATCTTTGCTCCGTGCAATCTTCTAGTTATTGGAAGTATGTGCCTTGTAATTAAAGTTAATGCAGCAGTTAGATCAAGAGAAATTTCAGCTAGTGAAATTTGTAAATTCTTTTGGTAAAATTTGAAACCTATGGATTGGGCGACACACACAATTTATAACTTTTTAAACAACTGATATGAAATTTTGTTAGTCCAAATGAAGGGAAAGGAAAGGATTAAACTAAATATTAAGAGTCTGGTAGCCAAAGTTGTGTTTAGCCTTGGACTAATTTCTTCCTTCTAAGAACCAACCCTTACCCAATATAGTGTCTAATTGTTCTGAGAAGGTTGGTCAAGCTAATGGTGACTTCGACAACAACTACCTCATGCTAAAGTTTATAAAATAGTACTAATAATGTAGTAGTGGCTAATATAAATAATATAACAAATTACACGCTGGGATACGCTTTTGAATAGGTAAACAGTGCCAGGCCACTCCTTTGCTTTGAGACAGAATAAGAGGTTTAGGAATCCATGTTTCCCCTTTTGACTTTTTCTCTCAAGAGCTCCCTCTGTCTTTCTTCCACAACTTTCATTGCTTCTCTTGCTTTTTTCTAGTCTTTGCTCAGGATGACCTGGCCCAACTCACTCCAAATAAGAGTTGACCACCACTCTGATGAAATGCACAAGAAAATCTTAGATAAAACCAAACTAAGGAATTCACACATATATTGCCTATAGATATGTAAAGTATGGAAAATGAATAGATAAATAATAGCAATGCATTGAATAATGCAAATGCAAAAATCTAGATACATTTTTCTCTTGGTATTTTCATCTCCCATCTCCCATTTTTCCCCCATCAAACGCAAAAAGTTAACACCAAAGTGATGTGGTACATTACTCGGAATACAAGTGAAATTGTAAAACAAGCAAATGGAATATATATATATCATTTATTACTTTTGCATCCTTGAAACTGGGACCTTGAAATGACATCTAAATGTTCGATGAAATGCCTGTGTCAGTTTTTGTTTTGGTTTTTTATTACAGATTGGATGTGGTCGCTGAGAAAGATGCTGTGGCACGATGTTGTGCGGTTGTACGGCACGAAAGTGGACCTAAGGAATGTGCGGCCCATGATTCTGAAGAGAATTGAGAAACGGGGCACAGGCTTACCCGGTTCGTTCCATGGTTCCTATTGCCAAGGAGGTCCTCTTTTCCAAGGAATTATTTTAGGTTTCTATAAGTGAGGCACATTTTTTTCTCTAGGAAATGCTAACATTACATTCTTTGACTTACTTTCTATTATTGATTGAGATTTATTGACCTGAGTCCCACCTTTAATTTAATGAATTTCTCTGGGCATGATCCAAATACTAAGCGCATGATATTTCAGCTTGTAGATTTCTTGATAAAATCTTGTTTGAATTAGAAATTTAGAATTAAGTGAGGTGGGATTTCTGAGACTTGGATTGCTTCACAATCTTTGGGACGTGCAATCTTCTAGTTATTGGAAGTATCTTCCTTGTAATTAAAATTAATGCAGCAGTCAGATCAAGAGAAATTTCAGCTAGTGAAATCTGTAAATGCTTTTGGTTTTTTGAAACCTGTGGATTGGGACACAATTTATAACTTTTTAAACAACTGATATTATGATATTTTGGTGGTCCAAACGAAGGGAAAGGAAATGATAGAGCTCAATATTTTGTCAGGAGTCCGGTAGCCTAAGTTGTGTCTAGTCTTCCAACCCCTACCCAATAAAGGGTCTAAAACCTGGTAGACTTTAATTGATCTTGTTCTGAGGAAGGTTGGCCAAGCAAATGATGACTTTGACAACAACTCCCACACGCCAAAGTTTATAAAAAAAGTACTAATGTAGTAATGGCTAATGTAAACAAAATAACAGGTTACAAGGTAACAATAGGAGAGGCTGGGACCCACTTTTGAATAGGTAAACAGTCCCAGACCCCCTCTTTGCTTTGAGACAGTATAAAATGCTTAGGAATCCATGTTTCTCCTTTTGACTCTCTTTCTCTCAATTGCTCCCTCTGTCTTTCCTCCACAACTTTCTTTGCTGCTCTTGCTTTTACCCAGTCTTTGCTCATGATGGCTTGGCTCAACTCACTCCAAATAAGAGCTGATTCAGTTGGCCACACACACTGAAGAAATATGTACCAGAAAATCTTTGATCAAACTCAGGAAGACATGCACATTCTCACGTATATTGCCTAAAGATATGCTTTGTTATTGAGCTAACATCATGACTACCCTAACAGCTTTTCATTTTTAATATTTTGATATTTTTATTGGAACAAGAGAAATCAAAATAAAAACTCTTCTTTTATAATATGCTTAGCAGATTTAAACATACGCATATGGAAAATAAAGAGCCAATAACAGCACTCCTTTACTTAATACAAGTATATAAATCCTGATCCATTTTTCTCTTGCTATTTTTCATCTCCCCTTTTTCTACTCTCCCACATTATTTGCCACTAAACACAATTAACATAGAGAGATGTGGTACTTTCATTAATCGGACTGCAGTGGGTAGGTGTAAGTGACAGTGTAACACGAGCAGGTGAAATAAATATCATTTATTACCTTTGCATCCTTGACAGTAGGAGCTTGAAGTCCTGAAATAATTTCTTTTGCATCGTATATCACTCTTACTCCTGCATTGTTTGTATCCTTCAGTGTTACAGTACTGCATCATGTCATAACTTCAAAGTGAGGCACATATCATCATCAGAATATCACAACAAATGACCAATAGATGGCCACTGCTTATTGATATATACAACTTAAAAAGGAATCTTTTCAGATAGGCAGTCTTATATAACTTCAAAGTGAGCTACCTATCCCAATGACCTTTAACTTCATAGAGAACCTTCAATGAAGATGAGTCAATGATCTTTCCCTTCATCAATCTTCTACTTCCCCCAAATCGAAGGAAAGATTGACTCATGTAGCATAACTCCGCCACAAGGCCAGTTTCTATGCACTTGATATTGACATTGCCAACCCAATCAGTTCCAGGAACTGGAAGAATTTTAATCAAAAGGTGAGGGGAATTCATTTCATATGTCTCTCCATGATTGAGGAGCTTCAGCTTCCGTTTGCCATGCACTTGAGCTTCCACTGAAGTACCTGCATATTTGGTTGTTTTAATGTGACAGAACATCATAATTTACATGTTCCAATGCAATTCGGACTATAACAAGAAGGGAAACAAGTTGACGCTAGCCGTATGTTTGCATACAGACATATCAAAGGTAGTATAATTCATTGAACAACAGATGTCATGTTAGATTTACCATTGAACTTTGGAACAGGATACTGGCACCATATAATTTCTATGTTTTCTTTCTCATCAGTTGCATGGAGGGCAGATACAGGAGGGTGGTGTGAAACCTACAAAACATAGAATACAATTATCACAAAAATAGCTATTCATGATACTCATTTTTTTTTTCATAGGACATTTTTAATTAAATTACACAAACTAATAAAAGTAGTTTGAGTTAGTGCTTTTCTTGAATTTTTTTAAAAATAACTTTACCCTTATTTCATATAATTGAACTTAACCTCACCATCAATGTTTTAATTTTGAAATTTTGCTTCTTTTGTTGATTTTAATTTTTTTTTTCCTGCTAACTTTATTTATTAAGGATAAATAAGAAAAAATAATTTATAAAAATTGTATGATGCCTCATAATAAAAACCACCAAAACTTTTTTGAATAGTGCCTTACAAAAAGAGTAAATATGTCAAAACATGAGAGTCTGAAAGATTGTGATAACATATTGAAATGATCATATGTAATAATTTTTGTGACCAAAACGAGCATGTGACAGAAGATAAAAGCACGTGCCTGCTCTGCTAGGACATTAAGATTTCCTTTGGAAACATGATGGGTCTCTCCAAGAATGGGATTGTAGGGAGCAACTCCAAAAATTGCAGGGCGTGTGGTAGATATGCTCCATGCAACAACAGATATGAGTCTTTCAAGTGGACTATGACCATTGTTGCATCTGCTTAGCAAGTCTGAAGCTGTGGAATATATAGATTCACCATAGCACTGAAGTTGTGACTTTGGGAAGTTGAATAGAGGAGGCAGCTGCACTTAGGATGGGACAAGAGAATGTTAATGTTTTGGTACATAAAATGAATGTAATGGTAAGATTATCTCTAATTGGTGTTTATCCTCTTAAGGAGCAAGTATACTTACATAGGGATGATTTTATTCTTTTTAATTTTAATTGCTTGTATTTAATTTTTTTACATTAAGTTTTTCAATCTAAAATTTTATCAAATAATTAATAAAAATATAATAGAAATGTCAGTTTAAATGAATTTTCCAATTAAAAAATTATAACTTTCGTAATGCATCACACTACATAACTAATTAATTGAGTATTTCCTTTATGAAAACCTTTAAAAAAGAGAAATTAACAGAATAAACTTAATTTAAATAGATTTTTTTGTTCAGTTATTTTAATATGTATCTAAGTATATGCAATAAAAATTTGTATATATTAAATTTTTATTATAAATTTAAAAATGTTATGAAATTTCATATATTAATAATATGATTTTTAATACAAATTTATTATTTATTAATTTTTTAGTATATATTCTCAGTTACAAATTTAAAAAACCATTCATGATATTTGGTTGTGAAATTGAACTTGCCTCGAAGCGAGAGAGATCAGATCCTGGCCGTACATTCTTAAGTAGACTTAATGTGCGCTTCAACAGGTTAGTGGCATTATAATCTTCAGAATCTGATTCATTTCCAAATGAGAATGGCTTTGTCAGCACAATACTTGTCTCCTGCACTTTGACATCGAAAAGTATGTTAAATAAATGGGTTTTTTCAAGAAATTAAAGATAATAAATTTTTATTCAAAATTATATTTGACTTTTTTAAAAATTATAAAAAGAAGAATATTATTGTATTTTTTAATAAAAAATTATCTTTAATTACTTCACATGTTTGAATATGATGTAGTGGATTTGGTAAAGGATTAGGTGCCACTAATTCATTCATCCATTATCATAAATCCCAACCTATACGTCAGATACTTTATTATATTAATCCCGTTAATGCTTCATCCTGCAGTTAGTATGTACAACTCCCTTTACACTTTTTTATTATTTGTTAAAATTTATTTAAAAGTATAAAAATATAAAAAAAATATTAAATTTAAAGAAATATATAATTCATATAATTTTAATAAATTTTAACTACTAATTAAAAGTGTGTTAAAAAATGAATTAAATAACATGTATATTTCATATATAAAAAAGAAAATTTCATTTATTAGTGAAAAATAATTAAAAGTTACAATTATTTACTCACAACAAAAGGGCGTTAATAAAAATAAAATATTAACACAAATTATATCATTATTATTTTGACATATTCATAATATATTATTAATTTATATTAAATAAAAATAATTTAATATTAAATTATAAATATATGAAATATTTTTAATAGTTTTATTAAATTCAGTCTTTAAATTGAATTAAAAATAATAATAGTAAAAAATTATTTATTATATATAATCTCAAATGTGATAAATATTTTCTTTTTAATAAAATATTTTTTTTATATATTTAAATTTAACCTAAAATTAATAAAATTATTTTTTTAACTATACATAAAGAGGAAAAAGAAAGAAATCTTAACTCATAAGGACTAAGATGTATTGCGTTTATGATTTTTCTTGCCCTCTCATATTTACTGTTGTGATGTACTTTAAGATTTCCATTAAGAAACAGATGTACACGAAAGACACTAGGACACGACTAGCCCATTGCCTTTGAAATGAAAGAACATAAATAATAAAAATAAAATTTATTTATACAGAAAAAATGGAATTTTTTCCTAATTTATAATTTGAATACAAATAAATTTTTTTATGTGTGTATTAATATAACTTCTTAATTCAATTTGATAAATGTTAAATTTTGTAGATCATAAAAATTTTATTTTTAGAAAAAATTAGGCTAATTTATTAGTCAATTTAAATCAATTCATTTTAGTTAAGTGGAGTTAATTTAGGTAGCAAGTCAAAAAATATATAATAACTTATTATATTTTAGTCATTTTAATATTTTTAATTAAATCTAAGTAAATTCATAATCATCTCCTGTATAAGAGAGGTAAGTGATTTGATACTTAAATTAGAAAATGATATATTATGAAAAAAAATTAATTTTTTATAATATTTGTTATTTTCGTTGATGAATGGAGATGACCATTACTTATCAATTAAGCTTCATATGAAAAAAAATACAATGATTTATTCAAATTCCCTGAACTCATTAGGGAAGCTAAGCTTAGTTAGATAAACAATAATAAGGAAAATAATCAAACATAAATAAATATTACTATTGTATTATTTACTTTGCATTAAATACATAAAAGAGAAAACAAATAAACAAACCAATTTTTAAATTTATATAATATTACATAGTATAAGAAAATATACATAATATTTTTGTATATTATCAGAATACAAAAACAAGCATCAATGTGTGTGTTGTGCAGCAAAACATAAATATTATCAAAATACACCTTTAATTTCTCTTCTTCTTTGTTCTGAGCAAGATATAACGCACTATGAGACAGAGATAAAGAGAAGGAGAGAAGTTGCTTACCATATCTGAAAAGTGAGTCAACTGGTGAGATAAGGAGAATGAGAGAAGTTACTTAGCATATCTGAAAAGTGAGTGAGGGATGAATCTATATATGAATCTGTGTGGTGCTTTGATCAGAATTGTGAATATAGATGTGGAAGAAGAGTTCTTTGCCCTTTGCCACTTAACACAAGGTTCTGGATATATATATATTGCATATCACAGTGATGCTTGCTTTTGTTCATTTCTTAATCTACCCTTTCCCATCTCTATTTACATAGGAGACATCGGACAGGTAAGTTTGTCTCTTTTTTTAATTAACATTAATTACATTGGGTAGAAATAAATGTCATTTTCTTAAATACTTAATTATATTTTTAAAAAATATTAATTAAATTTGATATATATTTTTAGTATAAAAGTTTGTGTACTATAATTAACTTTGTGAAGGAAAGTATAAGTGAAACTATTCTCTTCACCTGTATATATTAAGATTAAAATTAACAAAAAGAATGAATTACATTATTTTATTTTTTGTTTTAATAATCTCATTTTATATCTACGTATTTATTAATTCTGTTTTAAAATTGAGAAATTAAAACTATTGCATAATTTTTCTTTATCACATTATATTAAATTTTTATAAATATCTGTTTTTATATTTTTAAAAGTTATCTTATTTCTTTTAAAGATAGAGTACATTTTAAGTATTTTATCTCTTAAATTTATAATTATAAAATAAATTTAAAATAAATTTTAAAAATATGATTTAAAATAATTTTATTATATATATAACTATTTATAAAAATATAAAATTTTATTCTTTAGTTATTAAATTATATATATATATATATATATATTCTGAAATAAAATACACACAGTACAAATTAATTAATTAATTAATTATAATAGAATATGTTGGACATATAATTTTTATATTAGTTATCTCACATAAATTAATAATTTTTTAAATTTAATAATTTATGATTGAATAACTGTCATTTTTTTGCACTCTTAATGCATTTAAATTAAATATTAATATTAAAAAATGTAAATATTAATATCAATCGGCAACATACTTAATAAAGTATTTGATGAGTAAAAATTGGCCTGATTGATTGCTGGGCACTCAATCTTTTGTAACGTTCACCCAACTCGAATAAATGTACACCCCTTATTTATCCATCCATAATTTTACCTATGGTTATTTTATCTAATGATAAATTGAGTATTTTTATTGTTTCTATCAAAATATTTTTATCTATACAATCATATCTAATATCTGTAGTCTAAATAAAATGTCACAAAACCTCGAAATTATATTTTATAAACACTATTAAATTAAAGAAAAATGCTGCATATGTCAATGTTCAGTAAAATTTAATTAATATACCCCAAAGTATACATAGCATCAATGTAGATTTCTCCTAGTCTCTTCACTTTGGGGGAGACAATAGAGTTTACTTTGGGGTCAGAAAACAGAGTTTGATAATACATGCTGAGAGATTCTTCAAAGTGTGTCGGTGACTTAATTTTATCTAAAAAATAATTTATAATATAAAATTAACACATAATAATATTTAAATTAGTTATATCATCACTTAAAGATGAGATTAAATAATATAACCTCCTTAAAAATTTTAGTTCAGCATAACTTTTCTGGAGCAACGATTATTATCCTTTTTAATTTATATTTTTGTATGTTCAAATGATATCACATATAATATTAATTATTTAATGTTCAAATGATAAAAAATTTAAAGGAAAAAAATATAAACATGCTGTTTTGTTTGATCCCGACCTGTTATTCTTAACAGGATATATATCCATTATCCAAGCTTTGATTCTGTTCTTACTCTCTTTAATCTTCCAAATTAGTGGTAGCAGTCAACATTTCTCGAGTAGGAAAATTGTTACACTGTTTACAAAAATTTCTGCTGTGAATACATAATAATCTAACTTAATCATAAACATTGTGGATCCAACTAATGGGCCAATTATTGGGCCACCAAAGTAACTATTATTGGGCCACGATGGGGGCTATTGATACCCTGTTACGAATAGGTGAACACTCCCACCCTACTTCTTTGCTATAAGATGCCACAAAATGCTTAGGAGTCCAAGTTTCCCCTTTTGACTCTCTTTCTCTCTCTAGCTCCCTCAGTCTTTCCTCCACTGTATGCTTTTCTTCTCTTGCTTTCTCCCAGTCTTTGTTCAAAATGGCTTGGCTCAATTCACCCCAAACATGGGCTGATTCTGTTGGCCACACACCCTGATCAACAACAAAATCTCATGTTACAATCACAGAACAATAATCTAAATTACTTGACTAAGAAGTTTCAATTATTTCATGTAGCAAGCAGTGTTTCAATTGTAATTGAAGTTTGGATTATGTTACAATTTTTTATATCGCAAAAAAATTATAATCAGAATGATAAACAAGCAACACGAATGAGGGCAGAGAATAAACTTAGTACCTCCACATCCTTTAGAATAGGAGCTTGGAGCCCTGAAATCGCTTCATTTGCATCATATATCACTCTAACTTTCCCATTATTTGTATCCTTCAATTTTACAATCCTGCATAACAAATTGGATTAGAACTGCACTATAGTTCAAAATGCACCAAAATGCACAATGCTGGAAAGAAACCAGGCACATGACATAACCAGTGAATAATTAATCAATTGTGTAACTTGTCACTAATTAATTTCTTTAGGATTCAAATGTTGCTATGCTTAATTTCACTCTACTATTATGCACGTTGTATACATATGACTAAAAAAAGACACAAGGGAAAGTTTAGACATGTGCTTAGAAGGAAGATAGTACCTATCCCAGTGACCATCAACTTGGTATAGAACTTTCAATGATGAAGAATCAAGGATCTTCCCTTTGATCACTCTATGATTTCCCCCAACTCCAAGAAAAGAACTTGATCTGAAGGATAGCTCAGCAACTAGGCTTGTCTCTAGACACCTTATATTAACTGTGCCAGCCCAATCAGCCCCAGGGACTGGAAGAATTCTGAATGAAAGGTGAGGACAATTCATTTCATATGTTTCACCATGATTTAGGAGCTTCAGCTGCCGTTTACCATGCACTTGAGCTTCAATTGATGTGCCTGTGTATTTAATTTGTAGACATATACATTAATTTTCACAGTAAAGAGCTACATTTGGAACTTGAAACTGACATACTTATTCTATATCATCTTTTAAGAATTTAAAAATTCCAAGACAACCATTCAAAATTTGACCAAAATTCATTATAAGCAATGTAATGCAAAGTTCTGGATTCAAGAAAAAGGATCAGATAAACTATGACATTTTGAGTTCCTAATAGTTTTGTCAAAATGGAAGATTTTTTTTTTCTGGGTTCGAAAATAATAAATTCTGACAAATGCATAATATGAAAAACATGTTCCCTGCATTGATTCTTTGTTGACATCTGGTCACTACTATAAGTAATTAATCAATCTTTTTTGCGGTGCTAATATGACAAAATCAACAAGTATTGAACTTTGACATCTGAAAGTTTATTGTTGAGATACAGATAATAGTCTGTTGGTTATTTAGGAGTTTATGTTAGCAAGATTAAAAGTTTAATTAAGTAATTAATTTCAAAAATACTACTATTCTGTTTTTTTTATTTTTATAAAAATTATTTATTTTTAGTTCTTACATTTAATAAAAAGTATGTTGTTTTAGTTTTTATCAAGAATTAAAACTAAATATTTTTTAAAGATTAAGGGTATATTTGATTATTGTTTTAAAAACAGTTATAAAATATAATACAAATTTATATTGAATTTTATTTTTAAAAATAAAAAACTATTTTAAAAAGAAAAACAAACACTCTCTAAAATTTAATAATTTTTTATAAATTAAAAAATTTAATAATTTTAGAGATTAATTATTTAATCAAGCCAAGATTAAATTACGTATGTTCCTTAGAAAAGGTGCATGAAGATACCATTAAACTTTGGAACAGGTTGCTGGCACCATATCATTTCAATGTTTTCTTTCTCATCTGTTGCATGGAGGGCACTTACTGGAGGGTGATGTGAAATCTGCAGATATGTATACCAGGAATGTATTGTTGTTAGTAATTAAATCAAGTAATCATGACAAGAGTTGGTAAATTTGACAGGTTGATATGCATTTTTATTGGACCGAAAATTATTTCATAGATAAGCATTTATTTGGGATAAGAAATTATAGATTCTAAGAGATAAGAATTGCCGAATGACAACTTGATCTGCCAGCCGAAATTCGAGTTGCAGGCACCATCAGATTTGCAAGTGCAGCTTTTATCATTCCTTCTCAAATGGATTTTCTTAAATAAATTATTATATTATATGTTAAAGTCTATAAAATATAATTTAAAAAATTAACGCATTAATATAAGACCCTATTATATCTGTATCCATTATTATTTATTGAGCAGAAAATTTTGTCTCAATCCTGTGCAATATAATTTTTTTTTTTAAATTTCCATAAGCAAAAGAAAAATGAGTGTTATAATATTTCACTAATATCAATTTATCTTAGAAATGAAAATCAATAAAACTAGTATTTCACAATATTAATTTTTAGATATTCAAATAACATATGTATTTGTGAGCATTTAACCATGAAGTTAAGTAGAAATAGAGAGATGAAGAATTGAGAAGCAAGTACCTGTTCCAATAGCACGTTAAGGTTTCCCTTTGAAACATGGTGTGTCTCACCCAGAATAGGGTTATAAGGAGCAACCCCAAAAGTGACAGGCCGTGTGGTAGATATGCACCATGCTACCACAGATATGAACCTTTCCAATGGATTCTGTCCACTGTTGCATATGCTTAGCAAATCCAAAGACGTGCAATACACTGATTCACCATAGCACTGTAGTTGTGACTTTGGCAAGTTAAATAGAGGTGGTAGCTGCAAGTAAAGCGTAAGAATTTCATCACTCTCTCTAACATGAGAAATCTAATCATAGTACCATCATACTTCTACATTGCCTATTATTAGAAGATGGTTAATATTTGGACGTTGTGATTAGGGATCTCTACAACTAAATACATCATCATACATGACTTTATTTTTAGTTTAGGTGCCATAAATAAACAACTTTAGTTCAAATATATAGTTTGTTTCATAGTTTTTAAATGTATTGTTGTCATTTGACTCATTCATTTTTACCAAAAATAACTATACATTGCATTTCAACTTTAAAATACTTTTTACAATAGATTTAACATTTTAAATTTAAATTTCTCCATCATCACAATATTTTGCTCTTTTTTATTAAATGAATTGACGAATTATTTGAAGATAAAAATAAATAATGATATGAATTCATTTTAACAAAAATGAAAAAAAAATAAAGCAGACTTTATATATATTTTTTATTATGAATTTCTAGTTAATTTAAAAGAGCTCACGCAGCAATCATTATTTTGAAGTTGAGATTCTATATGATTTCAAGGGATAGCCCTTAAGTCATAATTGTGAATTCATATGAGTAATGATACTTATATCTTCACGTTGTTTTATAAAGATATTTAAGTCATAGTTGTAGATTTATATGAGTAATGATAATGATATCTTGCATTGTTTTATAGAGATATTTAAGTCATAGTTGTGGATTCATATGAGGAATAATAATATCTTTATGTTGTTTTATAAAGATATAAAAAAAAGATAAAGATAAAAATAGAAAAAATAAAATTTTAAAAAAAGTAGGTATATTATTTTTTTTAATTTTTTTATAAAAAATAAAAGACTAATTAAAAAAATAATTAAGTATATTATATTTTTTATAAATATAAATTTTATTTTAAAAATACTCATTATATTAAATAATATAGTTAATAATTTATATATTTAATAATATTAATAAAAAATATAAAAAATTTAACAATTAATATATTTTAAATTTATTATTTATTTTTTATAAAAAAATAAAAAATATTTTATTTTATTTTTTATAAAAAGAACCGAAAAAATATTATTATTATTATTATTCGGATATGGTAAGCATAACAACATTTTGATAGGAGAGAACATACCTGGAAGCGTGTGAGATCAGATCCTGGGCGTACATTTTTTAATAAACTCATTATGCGTTGCATAAGGTTAGGGGCCTTATAACCCGCGTCTGAATCACATTCCTTTTCTAATATCATTGGCTTAGTTAGCACAATTCTTTTCTCTTTTTGGTTCTCTGCCTTCTCCACCTGCTCCATCACTTTTCCCATTGTTATTTTCTAATTGCTATCATTATATGTATATTTAACAAAGAATAAACTAATAGTTAATCTAACAAGCATAAATAAATAAAATATAATTAAAGAGCAGATACGGATGATTAAAAGTTATAGACGTTTCCTATAAAAAAAAAGATCTCATTTATCTTAATTTAGTTTTCTTATGAAAAGTAAAAGCTGCGTCGACTACAATGTCTCAAGGCCTGCAAATTGCAAATAAAGTAGAATCTTCGGCAATCCAAGTGGACAAAGTTTGACCATAAACCCAAGCCAGAGAAGACAGCTCGACACCAAGTAAAAACCAAATTAAGATCTACGCATGAAAACAAAAGCCAAGCTCCATTTTATGATGAGGTCAAAACAGTTTCCTATAATGAACTCGATTGTATGCATATAGTTTTGATTCCTCTTTAATTATTACACATCAAATTCTGGATCTTCAGTAAAGGGGTTTCCATCTAGGAAATATCAATATCACACAAAATACAAATATGATACGACAAGAATATAAAAGACAATAAATTTTCAAAATTATAAGAGAGTAAAACACAAGTGATTAGCTTGTGTAGATAATTATTGATTCTTGCAAAATAATAATCATAATAATATTGAGGTATGATACTTGATATAACATCCTTTTCCTAGCAGGTGCGGTGCAGAAAGCCAATTAAAACTACTCAAACAGGGTCGCCACCTGTGAATTGCAATATTCCAAGGCATTGTCCTTAAGCTAAGGAACAATAAATAACATCAACTTTCTTTTTTCTTTTTTTCCTTTTTTCGCTTTCACATGCGTGCCTTGAAGAGAGAACCAATATTGTTTAATATTCCGTTCACACAACCCATATACTATTTTATTGATATTCGATAATAATAAAATAATAAAAATAATTAGCTTCCATGTTCAGAAACATAGAACTTGTGGTTGGATATGTCTACGCATGCATCGGAAAACCACTCATTTGGCCGTCCGAAGACTTAAACCACCTTCTTAGGTGCCGGAAAACAACCATTCATTCAGGGGTATATATTTAAAACACACACAGAATCATAATTCTTATGAGAACAAGAGATATTTTACATCAATTAGACAAGCGTGCGTAGGAAACTGTGAGAAACACACATATATATAGAGAGAGAGAGATAGCACATACCATATCTCTAAGATGGAAGAATATTGAGAGGTAGAATTGGAATGTTAAAGGGTTGCGTGAACTAGGACCTCCAAGTTGAAGAAGAAGAAGAAGCTGCAGATTGAGGGAGAGAAATGGAATGTTAATAGTATAAAATTAGAGTATGCACACTGCTTTAGATTAGCTCTGTTTTTTGTGCTGAAAATAAGGAAACGGAAATGAAGTGAGACCTTGAGGCTATGATAGAAGCAATGAGGCATTTGATGGGGTATATATATGGTTGCTTTTTCCGATTTTTGTATAAAATATTTGTCAATAGCTGTGCTCGAATGGCCGACATATTATTTTTGTCGTTACTTAAAATACTCAAGTTTTTTAAATAGTTATACATTTTTTAATGAATTAATTAAATATTATTAACTTAAGCATAAATTTTAATTTGTTAAATTGTAAAAATATAAAACGAAAATGGTGTGATGATTTGTATCATTTTGTCTTTTTTGACGTTTTTATGGGCATGGTGCATGAGTTGTAATATGCATTTTCAATGACATACGGTCAAACAAAATAAGAAAACAATATTAATAGAGAAGTGCGGAGATAAGGAGCCAATGATTGATCCATCTTACACTTGGAAATAAATCAAATGGCAGAAAAATATTAGATGAAAAGTACTCCAAAAAGTTACAAGGTAACGCACTATATTATTATACCATCCCATGAATCTTCTAAAATATATAATAAGACCTGACCTAACATTATGAGAAAAGAAAAAGAAAAAACACTTAGACCTAAACACATGACTGAATAATTGAAGATCTGATGGATTACGTTATTTAAAACAATTTTATTTTTAAATATAAAAAATTAACAACGTATATAGTATTGTATATATAAATGTCAAACTATTTGGACAAAGAAAGCAAAATATAAACGATGTCAACAGAGGGGAGGAAGAGTTTCTAATAATTACTAGTTATTTCAATGTCAACATGATGTTATTTATGTTTAACAAAAGAAAAATCGAGTTAGAAGTCAAATATACATTTTCCAAATTTTGCCAAACAAAAGCACAAAGATTTCCAAATATCAGTGTACTTTTATAGATTTTTCATTTGATAAATTCATTAAATTTCATTTATTTATCATGTAAATTTATTAAAATATAAATTTACATGTGTTATCTAATTTCATTAAAAATATTTATAAATAAGAATAAAATTTAAAAAGTAGATATATATATATATATATATATATATATTCTCTATTTTTAAGATTACAATAATTTTAAATAAATCAAAATTTATAATTATTTAAAATATTAAGTTACCAAATTTAAAATTTTAATTTAGTAATTCATTATTTATATCTTTATATGTGATTTTAAATGTATTAGTTAGTTTAATTAGCTAGCTTTCAACCTTTGTCTTTCAGCTTTAATTAGCTTTTCAACTTTTAACTAACTTATTTACTAATTTTACCAAACACACCCTATATATTTATTAATAGTCACAACTTTTAGGAGTAGTATAATTTCCATGAGCATTTGTTTGACACATTAAATTATAATTGTAATTCTAATTTTATCATAATTGAAAATAATTTAAAATCAAAATTCGTATATTAAAAATAATTGTGTATTTAGGCTTTTTATTTTTAAGATTAATATTTGCTTGCAATTTATAATTACTGTTGACTCAAAAAAAAAGTTGTGCATAATAAAATTTAAATATAAAACTTTTACTAAATAAATTGATTATGTACGTGTATTTTAATTCATAAAAATATTTTATTTAAAATATATTTTTTAAAAATTATATTTTCAAAGTGATTAATATAAGGTTCGAGCACAGCCGATCTCAGAATAGGATAACGGCACATCCATAGCCATTTGCCCATATTGTTCAGAACCACAATCATTAAACCCCCACCGCATGACCCAACATCGGTTAAAAAACTTATGTACGGATAATATTAAGAATTTTTTTTATTTGTAAAATATTAAAATATATATAATAAATTTTTATTAAAAATTACAGAATTTAATATATTGATAATATTAAATGCTATAAATTTTATAAAATTTATTTTATATAATTTTTTATCATGTTTAACATTGCTCATTTATTTTACAATAAATATGAAATTATAATTTATAATTTTAACTTAAATAACATTTTTATTCTTATACTTAAATTTACTTTTATATGTAAAAACTTTGTATGTGTATATTTATTCTTTATTTGGTCAATGTCATTACATTTAAAATGTTATCAAAATACTCTGAACTAATTGATGAATAATTTAGTTTCCTGCGTGTAGAATACTGTCTTTAAAGATTATTTTAGTGTAGTTGAAAATTCTCTAGGATACAACAAACTTTTTTTTTTTCTAAAAATAAGGCTATGAAGAACTAGAAAGCTCTAAAACTCATAACCCATAGAAAAATATAGTCAGAAAAGTTTGTGCCTCTTATGTGCAATTTCGTGCAATTTTTCATAATATTTAAAATGCTTTAATTAGTATAATTGCTCACTAAAATTGAAAATAGAGAAGATGGACAAAAATTGAAATCCTAACTATTAAAACTTACCTCTAAACATTTTCAACACTTATCCAACCTTCAATCTAGTTCACGAACAGTTTTGAAGGCAATTTAATCAGTAAGATTGACTTGGGAATCAAGGGAAATGAGAGAGAGTTCGAAAGAAAAAGTGAAAAAATAATTTTTTCCAAATCTTAACCCTTCAAATACCCCATCTAATTGCGATACTCTTCTTGCTGCAGCGACATCTCTCTTACTACAGCAAAAATATCAGCAGAAATTGCACTCTGTTTTCTGCAGAATCTCACTACAACGAAACCTTATTGTTATAGCAAGACTGCACCCCGAATTGTCGCTGCAGTAAGGGACATCTCGCTACAGCGTGAATATCCCAGTATTACACCTTTAACCTATTTTTCGGTCTAATAAATCTAATCCAATCATATACGAATATATTTATATGCATCCATATGCATTTATACACACCAATACTCAATATTCATCACGCACTCAAGTGCAAGTTCCATTGTCCATTTACATTTACACACACACACACACACACATATATATATATATATATATATATATATATAATCGATATTTCAAAAATTCAGGGCATTACACTCTTGACACATCTGGGAAATGTTTTGCATAATTGATTATAGAAACAATTGGATTAGGTAATACACGTTGATACTGTTTTCATGGTTATTTGCAGCATTGTTGATAAGGTTTTCATTATTTATTGATTCGGCCATAATCCTTAAGATTGTTGTCAAAATGACCCGAAGTAACTTATCAACAATTTAGTCTGAAGCGTGTAGAACATTGTCCTTAAAGATTATTTTAGTGTAGTCAAAAATCTTCCAAGATACAACAGACTCTTCTTGTCTAAAAACAAGGCTCTCAAGAACTAACAAATTCTAAAACTCATAACCCATAGAAAAATATAGTCATAAATGTTTCTACCTCTTACGTGCAGTCTTGTGCAGTTTTCTCAAAATATTTAAAATACTTCAATCAATGTAATTACTCACTAAACATTACATATAATTGAAACTATAAGTAATAATAATAATTAAATTAGAATAATAAAATAACAATAATAATTAATAAATTTTTTTAAAATATAATTATATTATTTTCCAACATAAACTAAACTATGTTAATCCTCTTCACTTGCACTTTCAACTCCATCATCTCCCACTATAAATGATGAAGAAGGGGTTTGTCAAATGATATTCTTTGCAAATAATTTGGCTATAGAAGCTAAAGATAAAAGTAAAATAAGACGCTTGAAATAAAATAGTGTG